AAAATTTAAAAAAAAAAAAGAAAAGAAAAACTGGGGGTTTTGCTACAGCGCCACCAATGCAAACTGTTCAATGGATTAAAACCCTGGCTTCCCTGAAATTAGTGAGAGTTGTGCCTTTTGACTTCAGTGGAGTCAGGCTTTTACTGTCTCAGCTCCAGTTGAACTGTGACAGCAAAACTGGATGTGATTTTGCTTCTGCCAGCCATTGGTTCAGGACCCCAAGTTGTGACCTACATTCCAGAAGCCAGATAACCATACATTTTATTGGAATCAGAAATGATTTATATTCTCACTTCACCTTTTCAGAATTCTGTTTTGCTTGTTTTTGTGCTCCCTATTGCTCCCAGTAAAATAATATTCCTTTTATGTTCTAGAGTCTGCTTGGGTGATCAACCTTGTGTTACCATCCTCACAGCCAACAGGACAAAATACTGCCTCCTATGCAACACATTTTTAAAATAGATATTTGTATTAATTACCATTAGATTAGCTACAGTTTTTGTTTTTTGGGAAAAATCCATCACCATTGAGGTCTAGTCTTAGTAAACTCCTCAGAACAGGAAGCACATCTACCTATATGTTTTGATCTGGTGACATTTGATCAGATCCAGTGAATCTGTAGTGGTAAAAATTATTAAAATTGACATTTCTACTTGTGGATGCACAGTTAGAAGATAACATTCTCAAGCCCTACTGGCTACATTTGGACAAAGGTTGTAGCTGCATAAGTGTACAGGGCATGGGGACAAGATAGAGACTTGACAAACAAAATGGAAATTTGACATGACTTATACTAACTTACATATGCAGGCCTAAATCATATAGTATCAGTAAAACAGTAATATGGAAAAGTACAAATCAATATGAACATAATAATTATACAATATAAAGAAGGAGAAAAAACAAAACGAATATAACTTGCTACCAAAAATAAATGCTGAAGCTTATCCTATTTACCACATCAGTAGAAACTAGTCTTATAGTTTGACTAGCTCTTGTCAGCAGTGTGTAAGATATAGCTTGCAAAGAATACATAGATAAATGAAAATATTATGGTATCTCGCTGCAAAAAAAAAAATATCAAGCTACTTACTAATCAGTTTGATGTCAACTGCATAAACCTTTTTCTTCTCCCCTAAAAAAGGGACAACTATACTCTTCAGATTAATCCGAATTCAGGCCTTTGTAACGAAGATCATCTGTCCTATTTCACGTTTATTGGCCGGGTTGCTGGGCTGGCAGTGTATCATGGGAAATTATTAGATGGTAAGTTGTTTGCAGTAAAAAAGCAATATTAAAGAATGTTGTCACAGTGCTTGAACTGTCATCCTGCAGTGTCCTTTTTATGCTTTATAGCTACAAAACCTAGTCCCAGATTTCTATTAAATGAAATAAATTGCTGAAATATTGTGTAGTATTTTCTTTGTGATGTACAGTAGACAAAATCTGCCCAAAATTGCAGTCCTGCTTTAAAAGTGCTCATGTAAAAATGAAATTGCCTTGCTCAGCAGATCAGGTGCACATGCCACTTCACTAAGCTATACTTCTACCAATCCTGCAGAGCTAGCACTGCTAATGGGCTGCATTCTCTTCCTTTATATGCATGCATCACTGGCACGTTTGTTTACTGTATTTAAATCAGACACGTTTTTGCACATCACGTGCGGCCCAAGAACTTGCACAGGTGTTAATGAAGGAATAATTTAATTTTTAGAATTCTTATTCACTGGTATGCTTTGAAAAAGGAGCCTAACAGACTGTCACAAAAATGACTTTTTTTTTTAACCTCAGTGCATTTTTCTTGTAGTCTTTGAGACCGAGTAGCTGTGGAACCTCGTAGTGTTGGTTTTACAGAATCACTTCTCAAGAGCAACCTAGCACCTTATCAGTTACATTCTATAATCTCAAGTCTTTTATATCCCGTTAGCTGTAGCTCCATTAACAGTAGCAGTAGGGCTATGCAAAGCTTTGGGTGGTTATTTGAATCGGAGGAGATTCGGCCCAGTTTGGTGGCCAGATCTCCAAACCCGAATCAAATTAAGGTGACCAATGAAAAGGTCCTAATCAATTTGAAGCTCTCTAAATCTTTGGAAAAGATTCAGAGAGCTTTGATTTGGACAGTCCCCGCCTGCTGCAGCAGGGAGCTGGACTTGGAGCCAGTAAGCAGGGGGAGGGGACTGTGGGGGGACCCCTG